TAGTTATCAATTCGATCCAGCAGCTGAGGTTGAATTTCTAGGGCAGGTGGGGGAGATGGAGAGAGAGGTGGTGGGGGTGATGGGAGAGGGCTAGGAGGGGTGGGGGGTGGTGATAGCCCTCCCCCTCCGACATGAATGGACGACCCTGCACGGTCAGCTATTACGGCAGACGGTGCTAACAAGACAGACGCTGGCGAGTCAAGGTCACAGTCTGCTGAGTCACTGTCTGTGATGTTAATGGCCCTGTTCTCACCACTGCTGCTGCTGCTGCTGCTGCTGCTGCTGCTGCTACTGTCGCTGCTGCTGTCGCTGATTGATTGGGGTATGGGGCTGGGGGAGGAACGGGGGGTTGAGTGAGCACGTGAACGAGCCCTCCCCTCCCTGTGAGAGCCGGATGTGGGTAATGCCCGCTCTGCTGTGTCACTCTCACAGCCGCTGCTCTCAGCGCTGCTGGATGCCAAATCTATGCACAGCGGTGTGTCGTCTGTAAAAAAAAGAAAAACATATTATCTCTAGAAAGAATGAAAGCATATATATCTCTAGAAAGAATGAACGCATATATATCTTAAGAAAGAATGAAAGCATATATATATATATATATATATATATATATATATATATATATATATATATATATATATATATATATATATATATATATATATATATGTCGTACCTAGTAGCCAGAACACACTTCTCAGCCTACTATGCAAGGCCCGATTTGCTTAATAAGCCAAGTTTTCATGAATTAATTGTTTTTCGACTACCTAACCTACCTAACCTAACCTAACCTAACTTTTTCGGCTACCTAACCTAACCTAACCTATAAAGATAGGTTAGGTTAGGTTAGGTAGGGTTGGTTAGGTTCGGTCATATATCTACGTTAATTTTAACTCCAATAACAAAAAATTGACCTCATACATAATGAAATGGGTAGCTTTATCATTTCACAAGAAAAAAATTATAGAAAATATATTAATTCAGGAAAACTTGGCTTATTAGGCAAATCAGGCCTTGCATTGTAGGCCGAGAAGTGCGTTCTGGCTACTAGGTACGACATATATATATATATATATATATATATATATATATATATATATGCTTTCATTCTATATATATATATAATATATATATATATATATATATATATATATATATATATATATATATATATATATATATATATATATATATATATATATATATATATATATATATATATATATATGAGGTGAGGGAACAGACTAGTGGGAATTAATATGTTTAAGAAATAGACTGAAATAAGACAGTATTAACTTACTTATGTCATGGTGAAGGGGCTGAGCAGGTGAGTGGGTATGAATCCGTAATATTGTGTTAACTGGGCGCGATATGGTCTCGTAACTCCCCATCTGCCCGCGAGTGAGATCTGCTCTCCTTAGCTCCGTGTGGGAGGAATGTGGTATAGGCTCGATGACGTCGATCTGTTCCCTCCATCGATTGAGGTAGGGATTAATACCTGAAATGGAATAAACGATATTCAGCACGGGTGAATGGGGAAAAAATATGTTTATTATGCATGTGTGTTCGCTTGCAACTGGATGAAATACAGATACGAGAAGTATATTTTTTATATGCTACCTACGTTTATGTGAAGTTTCATTCCGGCGATGACCTCCTCGCGGGGCAGGTGAGCAATAAGGACACTTCACGGTTTTGTAAACTGAAATTGGAAAGAACATATTTAACTGTGTGGAATGTAATAGCCCGAATGAGTAAATATTCTCACACTATAGTAGTTTACACACGCGATATTTCACCTGTGGATGCCATAAAATGAACTGTGGAATATTAAATATGAATAACACTCACGGTTATCACAGAAAATCTGCTGACATCGCTTGCATTTGATGTCGTAATGTCCTAGGGGCGGTTTTTCACAGCTTGCACATTGCAGCCGACACAGTTGATTTGGTGATGGAATATAAAACACTCCACATTTCATGCAGGCTGTAGAGCTTCGTCTTTCCATGACGCGGAGCTGTATGGTGAGTGTGTGTAGCGGATGAAGTCTCGCAGGGAACTGGCAGCGCGTTTGTGTGTGAGGGGAATGAAATGCCCCGGGTCAAATGAGAAGTGATTGATGGCTGACAGGTGTGGGTCTGTCGTATGTACCTCGCTCCCCTCCTTACCGGAATCGCAGTAGAGGGGGAACCGTGGCGGGATGAACATCTCGACTCTGAAGACAACGAAAACCCTTTAAGGCAAATGGCCCACTTCCGCAGGAGGGTGCTGCTCTCTCTCTTACCCCTCAACACTTACGGCATCCTGTAGGGGGGAAGCTAATGGACGTAAAGGCTTTCCTCTCAGGTATGGGGGTTCTCCTCTCCCTCCCCCCTCCCCCTCCCCCTCCCCAAACAACATATCCACTATGTTGGATCCCCTCAACCTCTACTTACCTTACTATCATCAAACTATTATCGTCACACAGGATTAAGTCTATGACAAACACACATACATATTTAACGCTTTTCCCTGTATTTACTACTATACCACATAGCACACATACTCTCCTACACCCCCAACAACATGAACTCCCATCTTTCCTGACCACATACCCAAACCCCCGAGGACTAGAACCGCGCGCACCACATTCCTCCGACACGCGTCATAACATCCGGGAAATTCCCCCCCAAACCCTTTGTGACTAGAGCGACGCGCTGCGACTACGACGACGCGCACCACCTGGCACCCAACAACATGTCTCCCTCGTTCCTGACCACATACCCAAACCCCCGAGGACTAGAACCGCGCGCACCACATTCCTCCGACACGCGTCATAACATCCGGGAAATTCCCCCCCAAAACCCTTGAGGACTACGGCGACGCGCTGCGACTACGACGACGCGCACCACCTGGCATCCAACAACATGACTTCCCCTCGTTCCTGACCACATACCCAAACACCGGACGCTCACACGCGTCCAACACACGCCAAACTTCCGGGAAAATCCCCCAAAACCCTTGAGGACTACGACGACGCGCGACACCTGTCCAGCTGGCACTCCACGAGTGCCACCTGGCAGATGGTGCGCACGGTCGTAGTCCTCAACTTCACTACTGAGAAACACCAAGTAGGTGACGGGTAGAGAGACAGGGTAGATGACTGGTAGAGAGACACCAGGTAGATGAATGGTAGAGAAACACTGGGTAGATGACTGGTAGAGAGACACCAGGTAGATGAATGGTAAATAAACACCAGGTAGATGACTAGTAAAGAGACACCAGGTAGATGACTGGTAGAGAAATACCGGGTAGATGACTGGTAGAGAGACACCAGGTAGATGACTGGTAGAGAAATACCAAGTAGATGACTGGTAGAGAGACAGGGTACGTGACTGGTAGAGAAACACCGGGTAGATGACTAGTAGAGAAACACTGGGTAGATGACTGATAGACACCGGGTAGATGACTGGTAGTGAAACACTGGGTAGATGACTGGTAGTGAAACACTGGGTAGATGACTGGTAGAGAAACACTGGGTAGATGACTGGTAGAGAAACACTGGGTGGATGACTGGTAGATAAACACTGGGTAGATGAATGGTAGAAAAACACTGGGTAGATGACTAGAGAAACACTAGGTAGATGACTGGTAGAGACACCTGGTAGATGACTGGTAGAGAAACACCGGGTAGATGACTGGTAGAGAAACACCGGGTAGATGACTGGTAGAGAAACACTGAGTAGATGACTAGTAGATAAACACTGGGTAGATGACTGGTAGAGAAACACTGGGTAGATGACTAGTAGATAAACACTGGGTAGATGACTGGTAGAGAAACACTGGGTAGATTACTAGTAGATAAACACTGGGTAGATGACTGGTAGAGAAACACCGGGTAGATGACTGGTAGAGAAACACTGGGTAGATGTCTGGTAGAGAAACACCGGGTAGATGACTGGTAGAGAAACACTGGGTAGATGACTGGTAGAGAAACACCGGGTAGATGACTGGTAGAGAAATACTGGGTAGATGACTGGTAGAGAAACACCGGGTAGATGACTGGTAGATAAACACCGGGTAGATTACTAGTATAGAAACACCGGGTAGATGACTGTTAGAGAAATCCCAGGTAGATGACTGGTAGAGAAACACCGGGTAGATGACTGGTGGAGAAATACTGGGTAGATGACTGGTAGATAAACTCCGGGTAGATAACTGGTAGAGAAACACTGGGTAGATGGCTGGTAGATAAATACTGAGTAGATGACTGGGAGAGAAACACTGGGTAGATGACTGGTAGATAAACTCCGGGTAGATGACTGGTAGAGAAACGCTGGGTAGATGGCTGGTAGATAAACACTGGTTAGATGACTGGGAGAGAAACACTGGGTAGATGACTGGTAGAGACACACGGTAGATGACTGGTAGAGACACCAGGTAGATGACTGATAAAGAGACACCAGGTAGATGACTTGTAGGAATCACCGGGTAGATGACTGGTAGAGAATCACCGGGTAGATGACTGGTAGAGAAACACCCGGTAGATGACTGGCAGAGAATCACCGGATAGATGACTGGTAGAAAAACATCAGGTAGATGACTAGTAGATAAACACCGGGTAGATGACTGGTAAAGAAACACCGGGTAGATGACTGGTAGTGAAACACTGGGTAAATGACTGGTAGATAAACACTGGGTAGATGACTGGTAGATAAACACTAGGTAGATGACTGGTAGAGAAACACCGGGTAGATGAATAGAGAAACACTAGGTAGATGACTGGTAGAGACACCGGTAGATGACTGGTAGAGAAACACCGGGTAGATGACTGGTAGAGAAACACTGGGTAGATGACTAGTAGATAAACACTGGGTAGATGACTGGGAGCGAAACACTGGGTAGATGACTGGTATATAAACACTGGGTAGAAGTCTGGTAGATAAACAATGGGTAGATTACTGGTAGAGACACTCTGGGTAGATGATGGTGGTAGAGAAACACCAGGTAGATGACTATTAGATGTTTACCTGGATGGCCACCTGGATGGTTTCCTGGATGGCCACCTGGATGGTTCCCTGGATAGTCACCTGGATGGTTCCCTGAATGGCAACCTGGATGGTTTCCTGGATGGCCACCTGGATGGTTCCCTGGATGGCCACCTGGATGGTTCCCTGGATGGCCACCTGGATGGTTCCCTGGATGGCCACCTGGATGGTTCCCTGGATGGCCACCTGGATGGTTCCCTGGATGGCCACCTGGATGGTCCCCTGGATGGCCACCTGGATGGTTCCCTGGATGGCCAGCTGGATGGTTCCCTGGATAGTCAAATGGATGGTTGTCTGGATGGCCACCTGGATGGTTCCCTGGATAGTTGGCTGTATGGCCACCTGGATGGTCCCCTGGATGGCCACCTGGATGGTTCCCTGGATGGCCACCTGGATGGTTCCCTGGATGGCCACCTGGATGGTTCCCTGGATAGTCACCTGGATGGTTCCCTGGATGGCCACCTGGATGGTTCCCTGGATAGTTGGCTGTATGGCCACCTGGATGGTTCCCTGGATGGCCACATGGATGGTTCCCTGGATGGCCAACTGGATGGTTCCCTGGATAGTTGGCTGTATGGCCACCTGGATGGTTCCCTGGATGGCCACCTGGATAGTTCGCTGGATAGATGGCTGGATGGCCACCTGGATGGTTCCCTGGATAGATGGCTGGATGGCCACCTGGATGGTTACCTGGATGGATCCCTGGATGGCCATCTGGATGGTTTCCTGGTTGGCCACCTGGATGGTTACCTGGATGGCCACCTGGATGGTTCCTTTGATGGCCACCTGGATGGCCACCTGGATGGTTCCCTGGATGGCCATCTGGATGGATCCCTGGATGGCCACCTGGAAGGTTCCCTGGATGGCCACCTGGAAGGTTCCCTGGATGGCCACCTGGAAGGTTCCCTGGATGGCCACTTGAATGGTTCCCTGGATGACCACCTGGATGAATCCCTGGATGGCCACCTGGAAGGTTCCCTGGATGGCCACCTGGATGGTTCCCTGGATGGCCATCTGGATGGTTCCCTGGATGGCCACCTGGATGGTTCCCTGGATGGCCACCTGGATGGTTCCCTGGATGGCCACCTAGATGGTTAGCTGGATGGCCACCTAGATGGTTAGCTGGATGGCCACCTGGATGGTTCCCTGGATGGCCACCTGGATGGTTCCCTGGGTGGTCACCTGGATGGTTACCAGGATGGCTCCTTGGATGGCCACCTGAATGGTTCCCTGGATGGTTCCCTGGGTGGTCACCTGGATGGTTACCTGGATGGCTCCTTGGATGGCCACCTAGATAGTTAGCTGGATGGTTCCCTGGATGGCCACCTGGATGATTCCCTGGATGGCCACCTGGATGGTTCCCTGGGTGGCCACCTAGATGGTTAGCTGGATGGCCACCTAGATGGATAGCTGGATGGCCACCTGGATGGTTCCCTGGATGGCCACCTGGATGGTTCCCTGGATGGTTACTTGGATGGCCACCTGAATGGTTCCCTGGATGGCAAACTGGATTGTTCCCTGGATGGTTACTTGGATGGCCACCTGGATGGTTCCCTGGATGGCCAACTGGATTGTTCCCTGGATGGTTCCCTGGATTGTTCCCTGGATGGTTCCCTGAATGGACACCTGGATGGTTCCCTGGATGGCCACCTGGATTGTTCCCTGGATGGTTACCTGAATGGTCACCTGGATAGTTCCCCGGATGGTTCCCTGGATGGCCACCTGGATGGTTTCCTGGATGCTTCCCTGAATGGTTCCCTGAATGGTCACCTGGATAGTTCCCTGGATGGCTACCTGGATGGTTTCCTGGATGGTTCCCTGAATGGTCACCTGGATGGTTCCCTCGATGGCCACCTGGATGGTTCCCTCAATGGCCACCTGGATGGTTCCCTCGATGGCCACCTGGATGGTTTCCTCGATGGCCACCTGGATGGTTCCCTGGATGGCCACCTGGATGGTTCCCTGGATGGCCACCTGGATGGTTCCCTGGATGGCCACCTGGATGGTTCCCTGGATGGCCACCTGGATGGTTCCCTGGATGGCCACCTGGATGGTTCCCTGGATGGCCACCTGGATGGTTCCCTGGATGGTTCCCTGGATGGCCACCTGGATGGTTCCTTGGATGGCCACCTGGATGGTTCCCTGGATGGCCACCTGGATAGTTCCCTGGATGGCAACCTGGATGGTTCCCTGGATGGCCACCTGGATGGTTCCCAGGATGGCCACCTGGATGGTTCCCTGGATGGTTCCCTCGATGGCCACCTGGATGGTTCCCTCGATGGCCACCTGGATGGTTCCCTCGATGGCCACCTGGATGGTTCCCTGGATGGCCACCTGGATGGTTCCCTGGATGGCCACCTGGATGGTTCCCTGGATGGTTCCCTCGATGGCCACCTGGATGGTTCCCTCGATGGCCACCTGGATGGTTCCCTGGATGGTTCCCTGGATGGCCACCTGGATGGTTCCCTGGATGGCCACCTGGATGGTTCCCTGGATGGCCACCTGGATGGTTCCCTGAATGGCCACCTGGATGGTTCCCTGGATGGCCACCTGGATGGTTCCCTGGATGGCCACCTGGATGGTTCCCTGGATGGTTCCCTGGATGGTTCCCTGGATGGCCACCTGGATGGCCACCTGGATGGTTCCCTGGATGGCCACCTGGATGGTTCCCTGGATGGCCACCTGGATGGTTCCCTGGATGGCCACCTGGATGGTTCCCTGGATGGCCACCTGGATGGTTCCCTGGATGGCCACCTGGATGGCCACCTGGATGGTTCCCTGGATGAGTGACAATGGTCCTCTTGATGGTTATAAGCGCCTTATAAGTGTGTCGTGCTCACACTCTTCCGGACAGGCCCTCATATACATTGGGATCGAACTTCCGTTTCAGGTGTAGACCCAACACATTTACACATTAGGTACGATAATATTTAAGTCAAGTTGTAGTAATGAAGAGTCATTTTATTATGGGTGGGTCAGGAGTCTTTCACCCCAGCCTGACCTAACACCAGGTGTCACACACTTCACTAGGCTGGGTCCTCACTGTGACTCCCCACGAATTAAAACTCTTGGATATGACTGTACCACAGTGACTTTAAATCACAAAAGTACAGATATATATATATATATATATATATATATATATATATATATATATATATATATATATATATATATATATATATATATATATTATATATATATATATATATATATATATATATATATATATATATATATATTTATATATATGTCGTACCTAGTAGCCAGAACTCACTTCTCAGCCTACTATTCTAGGCCCGATTTGCCTAATAAGCCAAGTTTTCCTGAATTAATATATTTACTATAATTGTTTTCTTATGAAATGATAAAGCAACCCTTTTCTCTATGTATGAGGTCAATTTTTTTTTATTGGAGTTAAAATTAACGTATATATATGACCGAACCTAACCAACCCTACCTAACCTAACCTAACCTATATTTATAGGTAAGGTTAGGTTAGGTAGCCAAAAAAAGCTAGGTTAGGTTAGGTTAGGTAGGTTAGGTAGACGAAAAAACATTAATTCATGAAAACTTGGCTTATTAGGCAAGTCGGGCCTTGAATAGTAGGCTGAGAAGTGCGTTCTGGCTATTAGGTACGACATATATATATATATATATATATATATATATATATATATATATATATATATATATATATATATATATATATATATATATATATATATATATAGAGTTGTCTCTTCAGAGGACCTCTGAAGAGACAACTAACACAACACCTATACCCCCTATTAGACTATTTTACAGGAACTTCTTTTCCACAGCTCATAAAACGGAGGAAAGGGTCCTGAAAGATATTGTTAATAGAAACGTTATCCCTACAGACAAAAATCAGAGGATACAACTGACGATTTACTATAAAACCAGAAAAACGGCCAGCCTACTCATGAGAAACTCTCCAGACACAAAACAGAACGCTTTAAAAGAGACTAACGTCGTCTATGCCTTCAAATGCCCACTTGGGGACTGTAAGCTCCAAAAAACCCAGTATATAGGCAAGACAACAACATCTCTTTCTAGGCGTTTAACGATGCATAAGCAACAGGGCTCCATTAAGGAACATATAATCTCTTCCCACAACCAAACCATCGCCAGAGAAATCCTAGTAAACAACACAGAAATCATCGATAGATACAGCGATAGCAGGAGGCTTGACGTTTGCGAGGCACTACACATCAAGAAGTCAACACCAGCAATCAACAGCCAATTATTGCACAACTATATTCTACCCACCTCAAGACTCTGCTCCAATATAGAAGCATCAAGAAATATGGACCAATAGGCTTTCTACAAACACTTCTATTCAATACCCATTGTTTGTGTTCTGTCTTGTGTTGATACTTTTAATACCCTATTAATATTCCCTCTTGTTCTGTCTTGTGTTAATGCCACATCACCCCTCCCACCTCACTCAAATGTAGATATAAAATCGGAGATACGTAAGTTCTATTCAGTTGTGTATTTGTGAACTAAAGTCTTTGAAAATGTAATAAGTTTTACGAAACGCGCCCGTGTCGCGTCAGACTAGAAATAAAAATGAATTTTGGAGAATTAATTTTTGATTTACCTCCAACAGTGAAGCGTAATGTACGAAAGATTGAGAAAATTCGTGTTAGAATTATTAATCTTACTTTTTCGGTCATATTTAATAATATATGTCTACAGGAAAGACTGCTACCAAAATATACTAATATATATATATACTATATATATATATATATATATATATATATATATATATATATATATATATATATATATATATATATATATATATTTTGGTAGCAGTCTTTCTTGTAAACATATGTTGTTAAATATGACCGAAAAATTAAGATTAATAATTCTAACACGAATTTTCTCAATATTTCTTGTTTCTTTTTACTGTCGATGGTAATTGAAAAATCAATTAGTCTGACGTGATGCTTGAACGAGTTTCGTAATAACTTATTACATTTTAAAAGACTTTAGTTTACACACACACACACAACTGTAACCTGAAAACACTACACAGAGTTCTACTTATGCTAAACACATAAACAGCATGTCTTATATACTCGCTTTTGGGTGAGGTGATATGTTGCAACAGTTTTGGATGAGGTGAACAAACTTTTGACCAACACAAGACAGAACACCGAACATTGGGTATTAATTGGATAAATGAGAGGGAAGAATGGAAGTAACTGCAAAGGGCCTATTGGCCCATACTTCCTCTTGATGCTTCTATATTGGTACGGAGTCATGAAGTGGGTAGAATATAGTCGTGCATTAATTAGTTGTCAACACCAGCAATCAACAGCCAATTAATAAAAAACTCCCAGGGTACAGCAGGTTTTGTGTATTCGATTCCTTGCAATGATTGTGATTTTGTGTACCTTGGACAAACAGGAAAGTCCGTACAATTGCAGTTGTCCTAACATGCTTTTAGTATTAGAACTGCCCAAACGTCTAACGCATTGCATCTGCACACGAGTTTATGTGATCACACTATTAACTGGAATGGGGCGAAAACCATTACCAATTGTGGTGGTTTCGTGGAACGGAATTTGATTGAGTCTGCTCTAATCAGTCAGTCTCCAAATCTTCTTAATGTTAGTACTGGTATGTACAAACTTGATCCATTTTTAAGTTATAATATTTCACAACAGTTTAAGAAAAAACTCTGATTGGGAAGGTTACAATGTCTCATTACAATTTTATATTCATATATTGTGTGTTCATGAGGTTTTTCTTTAATCTTTCATCCTTATTCTCTGACTGCTTAATCCTCTATACCTGTTTCTGGTTAATTCTTTCCCTAGAGATGGGTTGGTTAGGTCCAGGTGTTGGCCTGTACCCTCGCTCTCTTTCCTCTAGCAAGTCTGGTGTTGACAACGGCTTTAATCATGCCGAAACGTTCACTTCCTTTCACATTTCCCTGTGGATTTTCCGCATATATATATATATATATATATATATATATATATATATATATATATATATATATATATATATATATATATATATAGGTTAAGTCACGAAATTCTAATCTAATAGCCATCACCAGGCAGTTACTACATTTGACACATAACAAACAGTTCAGCAGACTATTACCAGGTATTTGTATCATCAGAGAGTTTACGTAACTCTCCCTGCCACATCCCTCAATTCCGTTTCAATACTCTGCCCACATTATCCTCATAACAATATTCATAAACTCGTAAAGCGTCGATATAATCCCACTATATCACTGAGTGCGGGTAAGGCTGATATCACTTGCCCGGTAGCCTACCAGACAGGACTTCATGTCAGCGGTGCTGCCGTGAGGGGGAGCACTGCCTCTCCTCCAGTTTCTTCATGCTTTCATTGCCTCGTTCAGCAACTCTGATTGGCTATCAGAGGTCCCACCACCGGACGAGCCGTGCTGGTCAAACAACCCCCATAATCATTGTTATCATTATTCCTGCAATAATAATGTATACATGAACTTTGATTTAGACTTTTTAAATCCTGTCGCCAGAGGGAGTTAAATCCTTTTTTGGTGTGCCGAATTAACACGTCTTCCTCCCCCCCCTTTACATAACAACTTGAGGCCAAGAGGTTTATCATTTGAGGCCAGGAGGTTCACTGGTCACTTGAGGCCAGGAGGAACACACGCACAATACTGGTGTTGGACACACCACACGCACACAATACTGGTGTTGGACACACCACACGCACAATACTGGTGTTGGACACAACACACGCACAATATTGGTGTTGGACACAACACACACACAATACTGGTGTTGGACACAACACACACACACAATACTGGTGTTGGACACAACACACGCACAATACTGGTGTTGGACACACCACACGCACACAATACTGGTGTTGGACACACCACACACACACAATACTGGTGTTGGACACACCACACACACACAATACTGGTGTTGGACACAACACACACACACAATACTGGTGTTGGACACAACACACACACACAATACTGGTGTTGGACACAACACACACACACAATATTGGTGTTGGACACAACACACACACACAATATTGGTGTTGGACACAACACACGCACAATATTGGTGTTGGACACAACACACACACACAATACTGGTGTTGGACACAACACACACACACAATACTGGTGTTGGACACAACACACACACAATATTGGTGTTGGACACAACACACACACACAATACTGGTGTTGGACACAACACACACACACAATACTGGTGTTGGACACAACACACACACAATATTGGTGTTGGACACAACACACACACACAATACTGGTGTTGGACACAACACACACACACAATATTGGTGTTGGACACAACACACGCACAATATTGGTGTTGGACACAACACACACACACAATACTGGTGTTGGACACAACACACACACACAATACTGGTGTTGGACACAACACACACACAATATTGGTGTTGGACACAACACACACACACAATACTGGTGTTGGACACAACACACGCACAATACTGGTGTTGGACACAACACACGCACAATATTGGTGTTGGACACAACACACACACACAATATTGGTGTTGGACACAACACACACACAATACTGGTGTTGGACACAACACACGCACAATATTGGTGTTGGACACAACACACACACACAATACTGGTGTTGGACACAACACACACACACAATACTGGTGTTGGACACAACACACACACAATACTGGTGTTGGACACACCACACACACACAATACTGGTGTTGGACACACCACACACACACAATACTGGTGTTGGACACAACACACGCACAATACTGGTGTTGGACACAACACACACACACAATAATGGTGTTGGACACAACACACACACACAATATTGGTGTTGGACACAACACACACACAATACTGGTGTTGGACACAACACACGCACAATACTGGTGTTGGACACAACACACACACACAATATTGGTGTTGGACACACCACACACACACAATACTGGTGTTGGACACAACACACGCACAATACTGGTGTTGGACACAACACACACACACAATATTGGTGTTGGACACAACACACACACACAATACTGGTGTTGGACACAACACACACACAATACTGGTGTTGGACACAACACACACACAATACTGGTGTTGGACACAACACACACACAACACTGGTGTTGGACACAACACACGCACAATACTGGTGTTGGACACAACACACACACAATATTGGTGTTGGACACAACACACACACACAATACTGGTGTTGGACACAACACACGCACAATACTGGTGTTGGACACAACACACGCACAATATTGGTGTTGGACACAACACACGCACAATACTGGTGTTGGACACAACACACACACACAATATTGGTGTTGGACACAACACACACACACAATACTGGTGTTGGACACAACACACACACAATACTGGTGTTGGACACAACACACACACAATACTGGTGTTGGACACAACACACGCACAATACTGGTGTTGGACACACCACACACACACAATACTGGTGTTGGACACACCACACACACACAATACTGGTGTTGGACACAACACACACACAATACTGGTGTTGGACACAACACACGCACAATACTGGTGTTGGACACAACACACACACAATACTGGTGTTGGACACAACACACACACAATACTGGTGTTGGACACACCACACACACACAATACTGGTGTTGGACACAACACACACACACAACACTGGTGTTGGACACAACACACACACAATACTGGTGTTGGACACAACACACACACAATACTGGTGTTGGACACACCACACACACACAATACTGGTGTTGGACACAACACACACACACAACACTGGTGTTGGACACAACACACACACAATACTGATGTTGGACACAACACACACACAATACTGGTGTTGGACACACCACACACACACAATACTGGTGTTGGACACAACACACGCACAATACTGGTGTTGGACACAACACACACACAATACTGGTGTTGGACACACCACACACACACAATACTGGTGTTGGACACAACACACGCACAATACTGGTGTTGGACACAACACACACACACAATACTGGTGTTGTACACAACACATACACACAATACAGGTGTTGGACACAACACACACACACACAATACTGGTGTTGGACACAACACATACACACAATACAGGTGTTGGACACACCACACACACACAATACTGGTGTTGGACACACCACACACACAACACTGGTGTTGGACACACCACACACACAATACTGGTGTTGTACACAACACATACACACAATACAGGTGTTGGACACAACACACACACACAACACTGGTGTTGGACACAACACACACACACAATACAGGTGTTGGACACAACACACACACACAATACTGGTGTTGGACACAACACACACACACAATACTGGTGTTGTACACAACACATACACACAATACAGGTGTTGGACACAACACACACACACAATACTGGTGTTGGACACAACACATACACACAATACTGGTGTTGGACACAACACATACACACAATACTGGTGTTGGACACAACACATACACACAATACTGGTGTTGGACACAACACACACACAATACTGGTGTTGTACACAACACACACACACAACACTGGTGTTGGACACAACACACACACACAACACTGGTGTTGGACACAACACACACACAACACTGGTGTTGGACACAACACACACACACAACACTGGTGTTGGACACAACACACACACACAATACTGGTGTTGGACACAACACACACACACAATACTGGTGTTGGACACAACACACACACAACACTGGTGTTGGACACAACACACATACACAACACTGGTGTTGGACACAACACACGCACAATACTGGTGTTGGACACAACACACACACACAATACTGGTGTTGGACACAACACACACACAACACTGGTGTTGGACACAACACACATACACAACACTGGTGTTGGACACAACACACACACACAACACTGGTGTTGGACACAACACACAGACACAATACTGGTGTTGTGTCGGAAATCCGACACAACACCAAATAAAGTAAATATTTGAATATTCACAGAATAAAAACAATTAAAACTTGCTAGGATTTTCCCACATAATTTATGGTCCTTCGAACCAGATACAAGATCCTGATTAGTATCTATATAAAGATTAGTGCACTATTTACATAATATTTACATATACATTAATTATAGCAGGAAGACACTGCTATAATTAACATTTTTCTAGCTTAACTTTTTCAATTTCGTTTAATAGTCAACAGAACTTACAACAAGCACTATTATTGTTCTGAGGCCTATACCAAAAGAACAATTGTGTTTTTTCATTTCAAGAGGTTGATAAGAGGATAATTTACCCATAAATGTATATGATTTTTATAATTTTAAGTGTATATATAAACATTACATTATATTAAATATTGCACCATTACTGTAACAATTATTGCATGCCACATTATTTACAACTAATTCTTGCACAAAGGTAGAACATTTTAGGCTGGTGTTGTACAGCAACCTTGTCTTATTGTGCTAACCTGGTGTAAGGGTAAGAATTTACACTTGTCTAGAGTTGAACATATATTACAACCTAGCAGGCACATATTTTTACGCAGTTTCTTAAGACAACCCGAGTTGTGTTATCTATATAATATTACCATAACTATAGTAATAATTTAACTATAGTCATTTTACCTTTGAGTGTTAACCTGTGTCTCTGTACCAACCAAGAGTGATTTTGAGGGGCTAACGTGAGGTAAATCCAGCATTGATGCAAGGTTACCACTCAAATTATAGTGTGTATGATTATATAATGTGTATTTTAAATGATAAACAGCCCTAGTTCGGAAACTAGTAGCTCAACTAGCTCAAGTGCTAGAAACAGTCCAAATCAAAGTCCAACAAGGCTTAGCACTTGTACATCTGCAACACGGCTAGCAAATACAGCCATTATATCTACTGCCAAAAATGTAAAAGCGACCCTCACTGGTATGAAGGGCCACTTAACCCGACAGATAAAAAAATGCAATGATTTATGTAATCAAACTCCAGTTGATTATGTAGAACTGGAAGGCCATTATAAGGTTGCAGAGAGCAAATATCAACATGTACAAATGCAGATCCTGAAATATCATGATATACTTGCTACTACCAACATAGATGAAGCTGCAATGGAAGCTGTAGTACAAGAAGACACAGATTACGAAGATACAATACAAACAAAGTTACAACACTTTGACAGTTTAATAACCATACACAAGGCCAATACAAACATTGCAGCCACAGCTTCCCAAAACCTGACACAACCAGAAGTCAAATTACCATCACTCAGTTTCCCAACTTTCTCTGGTACAGAGGACGCAAGTTGGGACAACTTCTGGAACAAATTTGTCAATTCAGTGGATTCTAATGCCACTATAGCAAAGACAACAAAATTTGCATATTTACAAGTTGTCTTAAAGGATGAAGCATTAAAAGTGGTCTGTAATTTGACCTTCACTGATGATGGTTATGATAGCGCAGTACAGCTCCTTAAGGATAATTATGCTAAGCCAGAAAGGACTATCAGACTTCTAACCCAGAAACTGTTGGATATTTCTCCTCCAGATGGATCAGCTGACTCACTCCAAGCCGTTAGATTGGAGCTTGAGTCCTTGCTCAAGGCACTTAAGAATAAAGTGAATCTGGATGAATTGGACTGGATAATCCAAGTCCATATGAGATGCAAATTACCCAGTGACGTACTGGATAAGTTGTTTGTCTTATATAACAAATCTTCCCTAACAGTAAAGGAGATAATGGAAGGTTTGAGATCCATCATAGAAAGACAACGAGATAACACAGATGGAAAAGCGACATCTAAACCTTCGTCTACCACTAATAGTAAACAACAGAGTACAAACAGTACTCCAAATAAATCTAAAACAACTTCCCCCTCCCCAAAGTGGAAACAAGGCAGTGTGGGCACATATGCAGTTGGTCCCTCCAAACCTACAGTTAATGCGTCACCCAAAACGGTAACTCCCCAAGATGCTGTTAACGTCTGGAGGCCATGTGTGTTCTGTGAAGAACAACATACCATGTACAGCTGCAAAGCTTACCCTGATCATGTTACACATATAAAACTACTCAAGAAGTTACGTAAATGCACCAGTTGTATAAGGGCACATAATCCTGACACCTGTACAACTCAAATGCGCACCTGCAATAGATGCCATAAGGGTCAACACCATACAACACTTTGTTGAGACTCAAGTACAAAGTCTCCCAAACCACAGGTGGAGGAAGGAACTTCTGCTTCAGTACAGCTTTGTACCATACTACAGTACTTGACATAAGAGTCTTATCAACAAGGTCTGATCATAAATCAGATCTACCCACTGCTCAATTGATCATTAAAAGGGGAAAGTCCAAGGTCACCATACGTGGATTATTTGACCAAGGATCCCAAATGATTTATCTCAAAGGAGTTGGTAGATGCCTAGAAACTCAAACCTGTACAAGAGACACGAATAGACATAGCAGGATTCCTGATTAACTCAGGAGCCCAAGCTTTTAAAGTCCTGAAAGAAAAGGGAATCAAATTGGCTGACAAAATCACATCAGACAACCTCTTCAATATTGGAATCCTTATGGGATCAAATGTCTACCATAAGTTTATCAAAGGATGAAAAACGGGGAATGAACCTGTTACCGTCTGCAGGTGGCTATTTGCTAACAGGCCAAGTATTACGGCTGAAGCAACCCGCACCTGTAGACCACCAATATGCCAACTCAGTAATGGTTGCATGATTAGGAGAACAGTCTCAACTACAATTCAGAGACATGTCCGAGGATGAGCTTGATCCTCCAGTACATAAACTATGGGACCTGGCAACTCTCGGCATTATCCCTGAACAACCTAACCCAGATGACGACTGGACTTACAAACAATACCTAGACTCAGTTATCTAGAGGAGCTGGTCGGCCGAGCGAACAGCACGCTGGACTTGTGATCCTGTGGTCCTGGGTTCGATCCCAGGCGCCGGCGAGAAACAATGGGCAGAGTTTCTTTCACCCTATGCCCTTGTTACCTAGCAGTAAAATAGGTACCTGGGTGTTAGTCAGCTGTCACGGGCTGCTTCCTGGGGGTGGAGGCCTGGTCGAGGACCGGGCCGTGGGGACACTAAAAAAAAAAAAAGCCCCGAAATCATCTCAAGATAACTTCTACAGAGATAATCAATACTGGGTCAGGTTACCATGCAAGCTGAATCACCCTCAGCTATCCATCAACCATTTTATGGCAGAAAACCAATTAAGATCACAGGTGTTGTGCTTACAAAGACATCCTGAGAACTTGAACTTGTACCGTGAAATAATACAGAAGCAACTCGATGACAAATTTATCAAAGTTGTCACAAATGATTACCCAAAGGAAGGGCACTACCTGCCACATCACCCTGTACTGGAAAATTCAGCTACTACCCCACTATAGATAGTATTTAATTGCAGTGCTAAGGCAAATCAGAGTAGTGTTTCCTTAAATGACTGCCTTCAAACTGGCCCTGGACTGACACAAAAGCTATACAACGTGCTGTTAAAGTTCCGCATCGGGACTTACGCATAATCGGCAGACATCAGTAAATTGTTCCTTAGGGTAGGGCTCCAAGAAGAAGACCGTAACTACACAAAGTTCCTATGCATCAAGGATCCTAACGATCCAAGCAGTGAATTAATCACTTACAGGTTCGTGTCTGTTTTGTTTGGTGCCACGTCTTCCCCATTTCTGCTTCAAGCTACCTTAGACATGCACTTGAAGAAGTCCAATAGCCCAAATAAAACAGAAATTAGCAATAACTTGTATGTGGATAATTTTCAAGGAACAACCAGCAGTGAGAGTAAACTGTTGAACATATATCATGAGGCTAATCAAGAATTAATGGGAGCAAATATGCCTATCCAGTCATGGGTCTCCAACAATGCCAAATTAAATCAACTGACCACAACTGAATTTCCTAACTACAGGTTCGAGAGGACAAAAGTACTAGGCGTCGAATGGGATACGACAACGGATCAGTTGACAATCAAGTCGGTGGAGCCAGATACCACTAACTTGACAATGAGAAAATTACTCTCACAAGTCAGCAAACCCTTTGACCCATTAGGACTATTAAGTCCATCTTAATTAATGAAAAGTTGATAATGCAGGAATGTTGGCAACAAAAGATAGGCTGGGATGATCTTCTAACACCTGCCTTACAAGAAAAATGGCAAGGACTAGTGAAAGATTTAAGTATCCTAGAGTCTATCAAGTTCCCTCAGAACACAGTAACTGAAAAAGAACCAGTTACATGTATTCTGTGATGCCGCAGGAAAGGTTTATGGCACAGTAGCTTACCTGGTCTCAAATGGGCAAGCCAATTTGTTCACATCAAAGGCCAGAGTGGCACCATTAAAGAAACGATCATTGCCACAACTGGAATTAACAGCCTTACTGCTAGGTGTAAGATTGGCTCATTATCTGATCAAGGTCTTAAGCAACATTCACTCTGAAGAAACAGTGGTATGGTCAGATAATGAGGCAGTACTACAGTGGGTTAAAAACAATAATAGTAAAAATCCATACGTGAGTAACTGCGTTAAGGAAATACGAGAGTTGTCGACAGGGTACAAACTGAGATATGTACCAACCAAAGAGAATCCAGCTGACTATCTCTCCCGAGGCCTGACTTTACGGCAATTAACAAAGGCAGAGATATGGTTCAATGGACCTCAGTGGCTAGTCAGCGACCAGTGCCCTAAACAAAAGCCACAAGTCATTGTGACAAATGTCACTGTTCCCACTGAGAACCCAGAACTATCTCGGACTTTGGTAATTGATCCTAATCAGTACTCTGAACTGAACAAACTAATAGGTGTCACCCAAGTAGTGTTTGATTTTCTAAAGAAAATAGGAATCAAGCATAAATTCCCTAGTGCCTTAAGGTACTGGGTCAAAAGAGCTCAGACAGACACATTCGGGACAGAATTTGGCAGTGTCCCTAAGAAGCTACAAAATGATCTGGGTCTCTGGGTAGACACCAACAATTATAACATAATGAGATGCGGAGGCCGCTTACAGTATACGGACATAGATCTGGAAGCAAAAAATCCAATATTGCTTCCTTGTCACCACATAGTAAGCAAACTAATTGTGTTACCTATACACAAACACAACACTCTGCATGGTGGGGTATTAGATACTCTCACAGACTTAAGACAACAGTACTGGCTACCTCAAGGTAGGCAGACAGTAAAATCCATAATTAAGTCCTGTGTTATTTGCTGGAGATACGATGCCAGTGTGTCCATATCCGGGACCTCCTCCATTTCCAAAGGAACGAGTTGTACATATTCGTCCCTTTGAGACTACAGGAGTAGATTTCACAGGAGCATTAACACTAACAGGCACCAAGGACAAAAAACCAGTAAAGGCCTATATCTGTCTTTTCACTTGGACCACAACAAGGGCAGTCCATCTAGAAGTGACTCCCGATATGAGTGCCGAGGCATTCTTACAGGCTTTCCACAGGTTTGCTTCACGTAGATCCTGTCCTAAGTTAATGATCTCAGACAATGGGTCCAACTTAGTGGCAGGAGAAGCATGTCTGAGGGAAATCTCGACACACCCAAAGGTGCGCACGGCCCTAAATCAACGGCAGTGCCACTGGAAATTCATACCTCCCAGAGCACCATGGCACGGAGACTTCTATGAATGCATGATTGGTACAGTGAAACGTTCTCTTCGGAAAACCCTACACCACCAAAAGATTGACCTACAGGAGTCCAAATCGTAGCCATAAAGATAGAAGCACGAGTTAATAACCGACCACTTACCTACCTCTACGATGATGTTTCACAGCGTGAACCATTAAGTCCAGCTCATCTGATGTATGGGAGACCTCTCAGAACCCTAGTGTCCCTTAAGGATGAGGAACCAGAGGATCCGTCATATGTCCGAGAGAGTGATTTGGTTCAACGTTTCAAACATCTATCAAGGGTGATAGGGCGATGGAATGACGTATGGACTCGAGAATACCTTACTGCTCTGAAGGAGTATCATTATGGGGCAAACAACCCTTACAACAGAATTAACTTGAACCCTGGATACATAGCTCTGGTAGACAGCGATGGGCCACGCTCAGAGTGGCCTATAGGCCAAATAGTCTCTGTTCATCCAGACTGCCAGGGCATCTTGACAATAGTGAAAGTAAAATGCCGAGGCAACACTACTCTCAAAACATTAGAGGAATTAGTTCCTTTAGAACTGGCAGGAAAAAAAAGACGTTGAACGACTTCCAGCACCCGACACGCCAGTACGGGACATCCGTCCCCAAAGGACTGCAGCACAACAATGCAAACTCAAATTAAAGCAACACTATAATTCTGAAGGAGAGGATTAAAATGATCGCAGTCCTTACCGGGACTTCGACCCATGTTTCGCTCCCCCCCCCCCCATGGCATTATGTCAGAAATCCGACACACAAAATAACATAAGTTACCCCATTAAAGAAATCAGAGAACGGATATTCTGTGACGTCAACAACAAGAAGTATCTTTATATTAACTCTATTTCTTTTAAACAAATGTTTAGTGTTTAAACTTAATAAAAAAGTGTTCACTAGGACTGAATATAATTTCCAACAATAGGAATATAGCTTAACTCTCTATTCCTTAATCATAAATAGAACCACCAAATATTTTAGGACGTCTACCCTAGAGCGTCGTCACGTACATACAGCAACTTGTAAACAGTGAGGAAACATTCCACGACTGGGCGCATCCGATCCCATGATCGTCGTCGCCCCTAAATCAACACAACAACATTCCTGACGAATTTTACAACACAAAAGGTTCTTTCTCCGAGCTTCGACACAGGATCCTCTACGATCCGCCCAACCAAAGATCTCATGAACAAAGCGAAGAACAATTTTCAGTATTTCTATTGCTTTTAATACTGGCCATTATTATTGTAGGAAATATCGTTAAGACGTGGGATAAAATCCCCAAACCAAGTACGTTTACTCAGCTCTACTACACACACATATTCTATGTCATACCTGTACTTATATGTCTGGGAACCATTATTAATTCCTTACATCCCAAACAGGTAATTGTGAGGGAAGTTACTGAAGCAGACAGTTGGCTCCCAACATAATTTTAGGAATTGTTACCTGCTGTACATCAAGCCTTGCAGGCCTCCAGACAGCCGCCATTACGTGTCACTCTGAGGCACAGAGCCACACCCAATTCTGATGCTACAATTACACAGCCTTAGCAGGCCCCACCAACAGTAGCAGATAAGGCCCTTTTGTGTTTAATACTGTAGTATAATAATAGATTAGACCACCATATGTGGTATGATTTATAATATATATATTAAAGACCAGTGTGGAGGCGGTCGCCTAGGGGCTATGGCTGACCAACCACGTGGTAATCAACATACACGGAAATGTAGTGAAAACGGGGAAAACAACTGCTCACCTTGAGCTGAAGTCTTCTCACGGGAGAGCTGAAGCAATACGGCGGCTTCTAGGGGCGAGGATAGGCGAGGTCCAATGGTAGCTGGCCAATATGGGGTGCTGGATAACCACCGTCCAGGGGGCGTCACTAACAGGTCCTTCTGCGGTCAGGTGGGGTTCTCGTCTGCTCTCCCTCTCGCCTTCAGGCATGTGTGCAGGTGATGCGCAGACGCACGGCGTCGGACTGCCGCCCACCAATCAGGAGCACCTAGCATAAAGAGATATGCCCTCTGGCGGGCACTTTGAATGTGGTTCCCTCCACACTCACCCCGTCCCTATAAAACAAGGCGTGTATTAGAAACTTAATTTAAACTTAGTACAGTATGTCTTTTTGGAAAGAAGTCTCCACCGGCTTCATATTGAGGGGTGGAATGGTATATTTAGCAACAGAAGAGAATGTTTCTGGTTTGATTAAAAGAAAACATTTAACAATTTAAATATAGAATGTACTTCTTTGTGAAATTGTTCATGATTATTGTACTGATATGGTGTTTTGTTGATCTAATTCTTGTGATTGAATGAAGTAGTACTGTTTTGGTGCACTGAACTGATTATGATCTATTTACACTACACACTACACTGCAGCTTTTCTTTTTCTTTCTTTCTTTCAAGATTCACTCCTAGGGGTTCACCCTAGTAATGGTCCTCACACCTAAGCACCGCTCCTTGGTTTCTTCCTTGACAGAACAACACTTTCCACACATCTCACCCCCAGGATCCCAAGGGAAAGGAATTGGATCTATGCCTTCCAGAAACTGACCTACTGCTAGTTTTTCTTTTATTTCCTTCTGAGGACGCATTTTTGAATTGTGTTTTAAACAGCCCTGTTTTCTGTAAGGAATTGGCTCCTTCCCGTGGTTCAAGGGTTCCACTAGGTATTGGGGCATGTTATTGTCTAGTTCACATGAGACGTTTGCCACCGACCGAGGTGGAATGACCGTGTGTTGAGACACTGCCACTTTAGCTATGCAAGGGTTAGAGTTTGGGTCTGGTGTATCTTCCCTTCCCAATTGCATAGGAATAATTTGTCCCTGTAATATCAGATGACATTGGGCCAAGGCCAGGCTGATGCCCTGACGTTTCATAAAATCAAGCCCCAATAGCATGTTATCTTCAATTGGTGCTACATATATGTTTACTTCAAATTTCCCTCCAGCAATTAGTAATGTAACCGGCCCTCTCAGTGTTCCTGGAATACACATACATTTCCCCGCGGTATTGAGTGTGATCCGCCTTATTACTGGGGGTGGAGGTATCAACTGTTGATGAACCTCTTGAGAAATAATTGTGACCTCTGCCGCTGTGTCAACTATTGCTTTCACCATTACGTTCTCTACTTGAATCGGGATCCAGAACATGGAACCGGACCGTAATTGCCTAATAGTTATTTGTTCTTGTTCCTCCCTTTCCTGCTTATCAATGCCCTCGGGTGTGCAGGGTTGGTCTACCTCATCCTCCCTCGGGAAACAACTACTCTGCTCTTGAGGGAATTCTTCCTCATCACCTACTTGCTGGAAATTTAAATGTACTCCCTCATGTTGATAGAAGTCGTCTTCATCTTGCGACATTTTTCCGTCTCCTATGTTCTTTTCGTCCACCAGTGCTATCATTTCAGGTGCACCTTCTGCATATGTTTGATCGGACGGCCAATCTTCCTGATGAATATCCAGTGCTGGTATTTGGAGGGTATAAGTTTTGAACCATCGAGAAGGACTTGGTGTCCTTGAAGGTGGTGTAACCACACTCTGCTGGCCTGGTAAGTCGTGGGTCGAATCTAGGCCTCGTGAGCCGACCCATATTTGTTTAAAGACTGATCCTCCTCCAGAAATGAA